CTAGAAGCGAGGTACACTTTGATGTTGAAGTGCTCCCGAGCAAAGACAAAATTGGTCAACGGACAATAGGGTCGAGATGAAAAGTAAATCAATTCTGGCCTCTTTGCCCACAGAAGTATTCAGACCAAAGATACGTAACCATTTTCGTTTTGTTTATAAATATATGGAGATGACCTAGGGCCTGGTTCACTCTGAGCTCATCTGCAGAGCCTTGGATTGCTCTGCTGGGCTGCTGATGCTTGTTCAGTCACTAAGGCTTGTCTGACTCTCTGTGACCCCATAGACTGTAGCCCGCCAGGCTCCTCGGTCCATGGGATTCTCCAGGCAAGAATACTGCAGCGGGTTGCCATTTCCTTCTCCAGGGGACCTTCCTGACCCAGTGATTGAACCCACATCTCCTGCTTGGCAGGCGAGTTCTTTACCACCTGCCAGATGGAGACAAATAGATCCAGTTTCTAGGAGGAGGAGAAGTGAGTGGGAAGGGAGGGGAGTTACCTCAGGGAAGGGAAACTTCCTGGGAGAAGGACCAGCCTGTGTGATGACCTGGAGGTGTGAAACTGCACCCTTGTTCCAGTTGACTTGCATCCAATTTCATCACCTAAGGGTTGGCAGCAGAGAGAAAAAAAAAAAAAATATAGACACTTTCTCCTTCCTGTCTGTGCTAGGAGACACTCCCACTGGGCTTCTCCTTGCCCTCCCAAGGGCCAGAAATGGTCCTCTGTACAGTGGGGAATCTCCAGGTGAGAAGGAGAATTGAGCTGCCCCATCTGAGGTCTGGATCCTGGCTCACCGGCCCCTGCGGGAGATGCCAAATCCTGCCTGAGAGTGGCCCAGGGGATGTACATCTTGCCGGATGTTGGGATGCTGGTGGTTGTGGCTCTCTGAGTATCAAGTGACAGGCTTTGCCAACGGCTCCAGTGATCCCAAGATCACAGTCGGTCACACTGAGCCCGGTCCCTGCCAGTTGTAGATAGAGTCATCAGCATTGCAGGAAACGGATGAGCAGGCTGCCCAGGTTTCTCTTAAACTGGATGAGTCAACCGTCAAAGAACCAGAAAAGAGAAGATGAGTAAGACCTGAAGGCATGCAAACCCCCAGCTATCAACAAGGGATGGAAAGGTTGGTTGGGAAAAGCACCGTTTTTATCAAAGAAAATAGAAATGAGGAAGTCTTTAAAAACATAATCATTTAATCACATTCATGAATCCCTCTGAGAACCAGGTACTTTGGTGGGCATGGCAATCCACTCCAGTATTCTTGCCTGGAGAATCCCATGGACAGAGGAGCCTGGCGGGCTGCAGTCCATGGGGTCCAAAAGAGTCGGACATGATTGAAATGACTTAACATGCACGCACAGGGATAAAAGGATGAGTATGATTTGGCTCTGATCCAGGGGAATTATCTGCAGCTGAGACCAATATGTAAATAAAAAGTTGTAATACAGCATATCAAAGGATCTACTAGGGAGATTTTTAAGTGTGATAGGAGCATTGAAGATGGAGTAATTAATTAACCCCTGGGGACTGGGAAGAGAAGAGATGACTTTTAAACAATGCAGAAGGGTCGAGGTGGAGGACAGCCTTTTTTTTTTTCTTCAATTGAACCACATGTAATTGCCAATGTTCAACCATCTTTGACATAAGAAAAGTCAATTTCATATGGTTTAACCTAAATCCCCTGGAGGAGGAAATGACGACCACTCCAGTATTCTTGCCTGGGAAATCCCACGGACAGAGGAGCCCAGCAGCTTACAGTCCACAGGGTCTCAGAGAGTTGGACACGACTTACTCACTAAACAACAAGAGCAGGAATAGAATAGAGGTTTTGTCCCATCTGCAGAGGCTGACCTAGTGGTAGTAACTGCCTGGAAACTATTAAGAATGACCCAGAGGATCCCAGGCTAATTGAAAAAGATACTGTTGAAATTTGATGAAAGGTTTCTCCTGGCTAATGGGTGGATGGATACTGGAATGGATGGATAATGGAATGGGTAGGTACTGGTATAAATGGAACATACCTGCCATCCTTAAATTCTAAGGAATTTATAAACAGAGGCATAGAAGTCTGAGAAATACCAATATCAGCATAATAGCTAGACAGTTCTTGGTAGTTGGAGGTGGTGGGTCTGTATTTGGGGGTGATGGCAGGGGCAGATCAGAGACTGTTCGAGAGACTCGTTAGAAAACTCAATCAACACTGTATCACAAAGTGCCTTAAAAAAAACACTTTTATTGTAGTATAGTTGATTTATATCATTGTGTTGCTTTCTGCTGTACACAAAGTGATTCAGTTATATACATACATACATCCACTGTTTTTAGATTCTCTTCCCATATAGTTTATTCAAACTGCCTTGATGACCTTAAAAACACTCTTTTTTTGAGAAAAATACATTTTTATTGAAGGATAATTGCTTTACAATATTATGTTGACTTCTACCATACATCACCATGAATCAGTCATAGGTATACATATGGTACACGCTCTTTACTGCGGTTTGTACCCTGTTATCTGTTTGACTTTTTAGATAAACACATGTTAGCTGCCCGCACCTAAAAAACACACAGAGGTGACAGTGTTCTTCTATGCTCCTTTGGTTTTCTTTACTTCAAAACTTTCTTGTAAGGAAAGGTCACAAAGTACTAAGAGAACCTACAATAAATACTTTGCAAATTAAATTGGAGAATGTTTTCAGATAAAATAAAAGCCAAGTCCTGTGACAGTATGGATTTTGTTTTACAAAGGTCAAAATCATCGCATAAAGATTTTTTTTTTTTTGGCTACAAAGAGAACATCCAGAGTTATTTCTGTCTTTTTCTAAGGATCCACAGCATAAGAAAATGAGGAAAACATCATTATGCACTTCCAGAATTTATCCTTCCAGAGAGAATCTGTGTGGTGTCCCAGAGGGCTTCGCTCTGTCACAGAGCTCAGTATTGAAAACTGTCCCTAAGTCCTTAACTGCACGGTACTGAAATGCCCTTCTGGATATGTTTTTGCTATGGTTATATTATTTTTCTTTGGAAACCTCGGCACCAAAGGAGGAGGACATGGCAACCCACTCCAGTATTCTTGCCTGGGGAATCCCATGAACAGCGGAGCCTGGTGGGCTACAGTCCATGGGGTCTCAAAGAGTCGGCCACGGCTGAGCACGCACGCGCACACTCACCACTCAGTCTAGAGGTTCTAACTCCCTTTCATTGACGTTGGGAAAGACAACAAAGGATTCCGGAAGCCGTTCCTAGGGCAGGTCTCCAAGGATATAGGTGAGTTGATGGGAAGTCAGGGCTGCTTCTCTTGACAGATGGCTTCCCAGTGGCAAGGATGACAGGAAAAAAGAGGAAGAAGTAGAGGCAACTGACCTTGCCCAGCCAAGGAAGGGAACAGAAACCACAGGAGCCCTTATCCATCATTAGCAAGGGGCTTACAGGTCCTCAAAAGTCCCTCTCATTCTTCTCAAAATCTCTGAGTTTGAACTTCACAGCCACAGGATTGCAACACCGATAACCCTAAAGATTCCTCACCCTAGCCATCCTTGGAGCAGGTGGTCCTTCCACAGGAAGTTGTAGATTGAGAAGATACTGTAGGATGCCACTGCTTGTCCCCGCTGCAAAATTCCACTTTGCAAGGATAATCCCAGCATCCTTTGCTGTAGATCAGGGGTAGGAGAGGCATCACTGCAGTGCGCTATGGTCCGCAGGCTTAGGAAGTGTCCGCCTCAGACACTGGAAGGCACAGAGCTTTAGGGAAGAAACCGGAAATGCAGAAGCCAAAGGTGGTTTCACCCCAAGTCCAGTGTGGGTCCAGGGTGGGTCCCAGGGATGGCCAACTTTCATTTATTTTCTTCCCCTGCCTTACTTCTTTTCCTCTGAAGAACTGATTCAGAAAAAATTAAAATGGGGGGAAGAGGAAAATTTTTCTTTAAATAAATTGAGCATGTGCTTACCACTTAGTTGAGCACATCTCCAGTAGTACAAACAATTCATAACCCTTCCTGGAGGTAGGTATATTCACCCTCATTTTCCAGATGGGAATCCTGAGGCACAGAGAGTTACAGTGACTGAGATCACACAGCTAATTAATATCTGCATCAAGCTTGTTGTCCACGTCTCTCCAATATTTCATTCCTTTTATTTTTTGGAATGTGGACCATTTCTAAAGTCTCTATTGAATTTGTTGAAATATTGCTTCTGTTGTTTATGTTTTGGATTTTTTTGGCCCTGAGCCATGTGGGATCTTAACTCCCTGACCAGGGATCGAACCCATACCCCCTGTACTAGAGGGCAAAGTACCACCTGACCGTCAGGGAAGTCCTTGAAATATTGCTTCTGTTGTTTATGTTTTGGATTTTTTTGGCCCTGAGCCGTGTGCGATCTTAACTCCCTGACCAGGGATCGAACCCATACCCCTTGAGGCACAGAGAGTTACAGTGACTGAGATCACACAGCTAATTAATATCTGCATCAAGCTTGTTGTCCACGTCTCTCCAATATTTCATTCCTTTTTTTTTTTTGGAATGTGGACCATTTCTAAAGTCTCTATTGAATTTGTTGAAATATTGCTTCTGTTGTTTATGTTTTGGATTTTTTTGGCCCTGAGCCGTGTGCGATCTTAACTCCCTGACCAGGGATCGAACCCATACCCCCTGCACTAGAGGGCAAAGTCCTAACCACTGGACTACCAGGGAAGTCCCATCTCCGATATTTCTAAAGCTCCCTTTTGAGTATGCCATGCTGCCTCCATACCTGATCTGAAACCAGGCTCCACTAGCAAACTCCGTGTGAAACAGAGAAGCCAAGCATGTGATGGGCTGGGTGGTGGGTTCCTTCCAACCCCCTCTGACTAAGGCAGGGGGCTTCCCGGGGTGTCCCCATCCTGCGCTCGGGGGTGTGGCTGTGTTTGCATTTCTCTGCCTTTCTCGTGTGTGTGCCATGGCTCCCAGGCATAGCGAGCGTGCCTGTTCCCAGACCAGACACCGTCTCTCTCTCTCTCTCCCGTAGGCACCGTGCTGTTGTGCCAGGCAAACCAGGAGGGATCTTCCATGTACAGTGCCCCCAGTTCACTTGTATATACTTCCGCAAGTAAGCCCGTCTGTGTGGCTCTTTTTGTTTTGTGATATAAATCTGAGTCTGATCACCTTCCCTCCCATGTAAGTTCTCTCCCCCTCCCTCCGCACCACCCTCCCTTGTGGCTTTCTGCAAGGTGAAGCTGATCCTCACAAGCATGTCTTCATTTTCCCCTGTTGCCTTAGCATCTACCCCCTCTGCTCATTACCCCCGAATCCTTGCCCCAGCCATTCTTTGTTAGACCCTTGTCAGGACGGGGGCCAATGGATGGGATGCGGGGCTTTGGGTTGGGGGCAGGGGGGTGGGAGGGACGGCATAGCTGGTTGCCTGCCTTCTATCACAGCTTTGCAAATGTATATGAAAATAACTGACATCAGATATGCAGGCCATCCAAGTGGCAGCCCAGCCTTGCAAAAGGTGCTTGGTTGTTGCTTGTGGCACGGTGTTCTCATGGTGGGAAATATCACTGGCCTGTGGCCGGAGACTTGTTTGCAAGGCTGTGTTATCCTTTGTGATTCCATTGAAGAGGAGGAAATGAGAGGAACATGTGGTTCTCCCCCATTTAACTGGGGAGGGGTGGTGGTGGAGGGAATAATAGTTTCAAAGCACTTTAATAGATATGATTATAGCCACGAATTCCTAGAAGGAGGAGACCAAAAAATAAATGTGGAAGAAGAGGTCACAGTGCTGGCAAGGAAAGACCAAGGATTCCTCTGCCAGGGATGGGTCCTCTAGGGAGGAGATGTGCCCCACTCCCACCCCAATTCCCAGAGCAGGTTGAAGAATTCAGGGTCTCTCTGAGTCCACCGTGGTTCTCCAGCTGGTTGGCCCCTCCTCACAGTCCCTTGGCACAGCCAAGAAAGACCTTCCCGTCTCTTTCATACAATGCGTCTACACCCGATGGAATCTCCATAACTTCCCGATGGGTCCCCACCGGGATAGATGGTGAAGAGTGAGTCTGGGGACCAGAGGGGAGGTAGGCTGCTTCTGAGATCAGCTAGAGGAAGGGACAGGTGGGGGTCAGAGGCAACAGCTCAGGGTAATTGGAAGGATGAGAGACTGAGGGGAATCTTTACCAGCTACCGAGGTCAAGCATCTCAATTCCCAAAAGCTAAGACAAACCAAACTCTTCGCTGTCGGGGCAAAGGTTAGAAACAGTCCCCAGGAAGCCAAACCCGAGGGTCCCTGAAGGCATCAGGTCGTGGGGGCACCCCAGTTGTTTCTCCCAAGCAGAGTGTAATCTTCAGCAGAAGCTTTGACACTCCTTAAATGAAAGGTATTTTTCTGTGTTCCCTGAGAAGCCCAAATCTAACCATATCTGCAAGAAATGGTTTCTTCCTGAATTTATGAATATTGCCCTATTGCCAGTGTAAATTGCATGTATCTCCTAGAACTACAAAGCTACTGCACATTTTCACCGGCTCAGCCTTGTTTAATCCTCAGAGTCTGCACCAGGTAGGTATTACCCTGTTTGCCTTTCAGCTGAGGAGGTGGAGGGCAATGAGAAGTGGAGTGATTTGCCCAGGATCACACAGCCAGGATATGGTAGATGCGTTTTTTTGAACTTGGGGAGATTTTTCAACCATTGTCTGTTTTTCCGGCTCCATTTGATGCTAAATCTTATCATCTTCCCATGGAACCTATTTCTCCTTCTGTATACATTTTATTTTCAGTAAGAAAGAGGGTGACCCAAAACTCACCATAAGATACGGTATATTATTTGCGGTTTTCTCTAACATTGTTGTCCTATAGAACTGTCTAAAATGAAGTGTTCTATATCTGCATGATTCAGTACATGGTGTGGGTGGGACCAAGGCATGGAATTTTAAATTTCATTAAATTTTAATTAATGTTACTCTAGCCCATGGGTTGACAGCTACCATTTGGGGTAATGTGGCTCTCTATGTAATATGTATATTTCACTTTCCTTTATAGAAATGAAAAACAAACAAACAAACAAATTAATTCCAAGAAAGGTCTAGTTTGAATTGGTATAGCTCTTCTAAAGTGACTTGGGGAAAATGTGTGTCATAAATGTCAAACATGAAAATATGTCACAAATTCTCCAAATTAATAAATAGGTAGCAAAGATGATTTAGATATAAAATCATCTAAATTGGAGATCAGCAAACCACACCCTCAAGGTCAAATCCAACCTCCATACTGTTTGTGTAATGCTGGTAAACCAAGAATGACTTATTAGATTTTTCAAAGGACTAAAAAAATAAGCAAAAACAAAAAATAATATATGACAGACATAAAAACAAAGGATAGCTCAGTTGTGTCCGACTCTCTGCAACGCTATGAACTGTAACCTGCCAGGTTCCTCTGTTCATGGGATTTTCCAGGCAAGAATACTGGAGTGGGTTGCCATGCCCTCCTCCAGGGGTTATTCCTGACCCAGGGATCAAACCCCCGTCTCTTTTGTCTCCTGCATTGGCAGGAGGATTCTTTACCACTAGTACCACCTGGGGAGCCCATATGATGATAGACATAGGTGTCCCACAAAAGCCTAAAATAGTGACCGCCTGGCTCTTTACAAAAAAGTGTGCTGATTTCTCATTTAAATGGTCAGTTTTATTATTGAAAGTACAAAATGGAAATATCATGTCACTGGTTATAATGAGACTTTTTTCCCCCTGGAGTTTCAAAGTAAAATATTTATAATAATTATAGAAACTGCATCATGTGTGTCCAAGACCCTTCATTTTTAAATTGCATGATCCGTCATATTACCTACACATTTTTCATCCTATTATCTTCACTTATTATCATGTCATATGCACTTTATGAAAATATGTTAATGGCCTCATAATAATCTATTGTTTAATGATATTATATTTTAATGTATCCACCCACTGCATTGTTGGGTACTTATATTGATAGCAATTTTTCAAAAATATTAAAGAAAATAAATGTCCTTGCATATACCTAGTATATAATCATTTTAAAGAAAACAATTAATAAATAGCTAATCCTACTGCATGCAGGCTCAGTCGCTCCCTCGTGTCTGATTCTTTGTGACCCCAGGGACTGTAGCCCGCCAGGCTCCTCCATCCATGGGATTCTCCAGGCAAGAATACTGGAACAGGTTGCCATTTCCTCCTCCAGCAAATCTTCCTGACCAGGGATCAAACCCAGGTCTCCTGCATTGACAGGTGGATTCTTTACCACTGAGCCACCTGGGAAGCCCAGCTAATCCTACAACCCTCTAACAAAGCCAAACAAAAGCTAGTTTCTTGCATTAAGCATCTTCACTTGTCAATTCCTTCAGCGAAGGTATTCAGATCAACAAGCTCAATTGTTTGTTTGTTTGTTTCGGTTGGTACTTTGTAAGGACAGCCAACCCTGAGACTCCTCCTTTTCCACTTGAGCTCCAAGTTTCCATCTTGAGGCAGTGGTTCTGAGTATATAAAGACGTTCCATCCCTCCCTAAGACACGTTGCTGAGGTTTCCTTTCTGTTCTAGTTCTCAGAATCAACAGTGCCTTTTGAAGCTGGACTGTTTGCAGTTAACTGACTTCTTTGAACCATTCCTTTATATATTCTTTTCCAGATCAAGGTGTCCATTCTAGTTACAAAGTCACACCCTATCTTCTATAAATAATTCAGCCAGAAACTGAGAGTTCATTCTCACAGGTATATACACACAGTCTGGGGACCCAAGCACCATCATCTAAGATTCTTTTCCTGACTCCAGGTCTGACATCCGCAGGGCTGAGAGTCAGGGGCCTCGTCTTGGAGGTCTGAACAGTGTGGCCTTTCTTTCTCTAAGAATCCAGCCTTCTTCCCCAAAGCTGAGGCTCCCTTAGGTCTCAGCAATTTATTTTAAGGCTACACCAGTGTTTCAACTTGAAAATGCATGTGTTTCTCATTTTTATCTAACAACTGTGCTCTTGAAGCAAGGTGTGTGTAAACTGCACTTTTATCAATGGGATGCTGTGTGTTTATGGACTTCCATGATTACACCCAAGTTTGTACTTTTTTCTATGGATCTTCAGCTGGCCTTGGATGTTTTAGGCTTAAATTGTCCTTCTGCCTAGCCACATAGCTAATCATCTGTAAATAACACCCTTAAATGCAGTAGGAGAGATGGTTTTTAAAGGAACCCTGCTGAATTAGTCTGTAATGAAAACAATTCTACTGAAGTTATCTGTTTTTTATGATGCATTTATGCATAATGGGTTTCCTTCCCCACCCTCCTCCTCATAATATGTCCCAGGACATTGAAAGCATTAAGAGAACGATTTTCACTCGGGGCTCAGTGTCCACACAATCCAATCCCACATTTTCTTCCATCGCACTCCCACTGAGTCCAGCACTTCCTCCTTTTCCCCAAACTTGATCCTCCTTGTGTGAAACCCACTTCAAGCTGTGTCCCAGAACGTCACGCTTCCTTTTTCATGTCCTAATAAACCACTTCCATCCATAGTGTATCAGACTTAAGTGACGTCTGAGCAAAAGTCTGGAGAATTAGATAAGATCACCTTGGACCAAATGGAAAACATTTAATGACAGTATTTTTGTCTTAAAATATTAACCTTTCTTACTCACAAATCAGAAAGAGACTCATGGACTTAGAAAATAAACTTACGGTTGCTGGGGAGGAAGGGATAGTTAGGGAGTTTGGGGTGGACATAAACACACTGCTATTTTTAAAATGGATAATCAAGGACCTACTGTAGCACAGAGAATTCTGCTCAGTGTTAAGTGGCAGATGGGAGGGGAATGTGATGGAGAATGAATACATTCACATGTGTGGCTGAGTCCCTTTGCTGTCCTCCTGAAACTATCACAACATTGTTAATCAGCTATACCCTAATATAAAATAAAAAGTTAAAAAAATTAATTTTCAGTCAACTAAGTTTAATTACATAAAATTATTTTAGTGACTTTCAAATAACCAATTAGTTCATTAACATCATGCTTTGCTTTGTGTAACAAGCAATGCAACCCCTCAACAGAGAGGTTTGGGGAAAGTGGGGGCAGGGCTGAGGGCCTGCTCCGTGCCCCCCT